TTTGATTTAACTTTTCAAAAACAAATACACAAACGTTAGAACAAATTTAGTTTTTGAAGGCAAATTGGCAGCAAAAATGAAACGTTTTAGGCCAGCATTCTCTTTTTGAGGCATCTTATATTTTGATTAAATTTTCTGTTTGAGGACATTACATTATGAAGGAGATAATTAAGGATTTTTTTAGGATTGCAAGTGTTCATTAAAGTGCATATTTGTTCAAGCAAGGTGAGTGAAAGTACCCCAACCAAAAACAAATATTTAAATAAAATTAGAATCTCTATTCATGATAGAAGAAATTTGATTCTTACCTGCCTAATTTTTAATAAATAAGTTATATTATAACTTATTTTGAATAAGTATGTTAATAAAATCAAATTAGAACATGCTAGTGAATGAAAAAGCTTCATGGGTACAATTTTCCATTAGTTACTGAAGACAGAGTAAACAGTGAAGGTATCTTTCTTTTTTATTCCAATACGAAAAATCTTTGTTTGAGGACTTCTGTGATATTAAGCTAAACATATGGTCACAGGTATTCGAGGAGTAACTGCTGGTGAATTCACCGCAACTCCCCCCACGGATTACTGGCTCCTCAATGTAGGCAATCTGCTGAACAAATCATGCTAATTGTCAGCAAGGCAACCAAATGGATAAACTTGCCCTAAATAAATTTGCTCATACCCACACACTCAGCAAACAGAATGAAAATGACGATGCTAGTAGGCATAATACAATTAAGTGCGAGCCCACTGTAACACTTTTTATCCGGCCCCCTTCAGTGAATAGGTATAACAAACAAGTAGTGTTAGTACCTTAAATATAAGTAAAAGTTGTTAAACAAATTCATAATCACATCAGTCGTATGAATTACTACATAACAAACCAATGTCACTGGACAGATTGTATTTTATTAGGGGTAAAACAGATCTTATATTGGAAAACTAGTTAAGAAAGATTGAGACTTCTGCTTTCCAGCGAGTGGAGAACGCTGAATTTTCACTAACCATCAAAACGTTTGAACCTCGGGTCACATTCGGATTCTGAGTTGTCTTCTGGACGCATAGCACTATTTATTAAGGTAGTTTTTTTTATAAGTTTTGAGTTTAAAAACCATCGGCTATGGTGGCAGGTACAGTAACAGAATGCAGACAAAAACTATATAATACGAAAGAAAGAGAGGAAGAAAAAAGAAAAAAAGGAAGAATGGAAAAGAAAGAAAAGTATGGAAGGCCGAACATGAACTTGAACATACATTTGGTTACAGCCAACTTATGAACATAAAATAAATCATGGAGAGGACTAAATTTAATAATTAAAATTTGTTTTTCTAGAATTATACAATAGCTCTTTTTTCAGCTACTTACAAAAAAATAGTGAAATTAGTGAAGCTCAAGGTAATATAGAAGAAAGAAGAAAATAGACAGGATGTTATTTTAAAGAACGAATGTGAACAATCGGGGGAGAAGAAAGATGACCGTAAGAAGGGAAGGAATACTTGAGAGCCCTACCCTGCATTCCAGCCATCGGGACATGGACCGACTCACTTCTCGCGAGGGCATTAAAAAAAATTATTAATTTGAAGTTTTATCAAGAAATAAATCATTAACATTAATAAGTTTATAAGCATAGTTGGATTTACTTGTTACCTATATTTGTGGGCTAAGGATTCTTTTTTTAATATTCACAATGAACAAGTATTTGTTTTCACTTTTAATTTACTTTTTGAATCAAACAGTTGGTCAATTTGCACCCTGCACATTTATATTACACAATGAACTATCCTAGTATATGCAATTTATCTATATCAACATTAGTATTCATTATTCCCAATTTTAATATTATTCTTGCCCTACCGAACATAATTCTTTATCTATTAGTCGATTACGACACTGCTGAGATCCTATGACAGCAACACTCCTATTGATGGAATTCGCCCACCATTTAAATATTTCTGTTCTACATATTTTCATTATAAGAACTTAGATATCAATGTGGGATTTTCATATGGCAGGTGTCTCTGTTTTTCATAATTTGGGGAATTGTCAAACAGTTCATCGAAAGGGAGACTACTCTAGACAAAGCTCAGCAGGCAGTCTTCTACAGTGGCAATGCTGACGGGTTAGTGAAGCTTGATGTAAAACCGGCCCATTAGTCTCTACAAACTTCCGCCAAAACTTACAATAAATTTGAAAAAGATTATACTAAAATGAATTAAAGCATCTTTATTGAACAATTGTTTTAAAATTACCAAATATAATTTCTAGGTTGAGGTGGTAGAGTAGGTCGGAAGAAAAAACGATATCGGTATTTTGGGGAAATTTCAGAGATTTTAATTAAAATGTGATCAACTACAGGTGTTCATTATTCACCAAAATTTGTATCTTATTCAAACAAAAAAATATCAGAATCAAATATACCAAAACTTTCTAACATCCGCAGAAATTTGAAAATTATGAATTTGAAAATTCAAGGGGTTAAATTTGCACTTTCAGCATTTTTATACCTGTCGCATTGATGGTTTAAAAACATCATTACTTAAAAATAAACATTTTTGGAGAATTATTTTGAAAATGTAAAGGTGTGCGCCTGATAAAGACCGCCTACCAAAATATTCAAAATCTTCGAATTTGCGGTGGTTGTTATAGCAGTCAGAACAAACGGAAATAGCAATTATGTCCAAGATGGGGAAATAGCAAATAATGGGTGAAAGGTTGATAGGCGACAGTAGTTGTGAAACCAAAAGCATGTTTACTATTTTCCTATTATCTCGTATAAAGTTACAAGTTGCAAAATCGCTATTTGAATGGAAAGTGAGGCACTTTTCTCTAGAGGTTTTGTCATCATTCCAAATAGTAAGTCAGAGCAATCCGACCCTTGGAGTGCATTCTTTAGTCCAGTATGTGCGAGCCGTTCTTAATTACCTGTTTCGACCGTCAGTTCGGTTCCTCCAATCAGTCCACCCATACGTCAGGTCTGTTCCACTCATTCACTCCGTCAATCGTCTCTCCCACCATGTATGTCCGTTCACACTGTCCGGTCCATTCACCCATCCGTTCGAGCTGTCCGCCCGACATGGCAATTTTGAAAAGACGTGAGACCTCTTGAATTCCCGTTATGTTCACTTATTATTGTGTTGCAACGCTACAGATCACACCCATGTGCGTACAAATACCAAGCTGTTATACATGCATTGCATGTGTACATTTAATGAAGAGATTTGAGGGATGAAGATACTTACCCTAGCGCTCTTTTAGTCCTCCCGATATTGTTTGGTTGCTGGTGCTAACAACAGAAAGATATGTTATGATATTACCAGAAAAATCAGTTGTAATTTATATCTACAGATTCTTAAACCCAGTCTACTATTAGATATCAATTTTAACCCTTATTTAGTTATATTATAACACATTAAATTTCAGCTCTTTAGACACAAAATTACATTGGTTGACCTCGTATTTGAGACCTCAGATAGTTCCCAGGCTATGCTTTCGATTGGAAGCCAGTTAAATCCTCATACAATTGCAGCGAGGGACATCCCCAAAGAAAAGATCAATCCTGCATGAGTCGCTGGATGGAGGGGGAGGGGGGGGCAGGAGAGATTGCACCTTGAAGGAGGAAAACATGAGCAAAGAAAAGTGGCGTGACCCATACGTGTGGATAATAAATTAACTTTCCTCAACGCGTGAAGATCGGGAATGAGGAGTTGCCAGGGATTAGTGTCCTTTACTTATAATTAAAGGAAAAAGTCGGTATTGTGCCACTCTGTTTGCAAAAACACTAAAGAAGGATTGTTTAAAAAAGAACCTTAACAATAGCGGCAATGGGGCAAAACAAGCGGCGACAATTGGTTAACGGTTCAGCGTTACTGGACTGCTGCTACCCAAAGGTTGGCGCGTTCAACCCAGATCGAAGACATGGATTTTTAAGGGCGGAAAAAAAATCCTACGTACCGCCTTCCTTCGGAGGGGGAATTAATGCCTGCGTCCCATGTTCATAGATTTACTTTGCATGTAAAAGATCCTTCAGCCTAAATGATCTGCTCTGAGCTAAATTCTCAAATCGCCAAGAAATACCTCCTTTCTCTTCCTAGTCTGGTGAAAGGATGCGAGAAAATTTACGTGGTCAGACAGAAGAGCGGCCTGATGTCGCCCGCTGATGGCCCGAGTCTCGCCACGTAAAATAAGGCAAATTCAATTCAATTCAACAATAGACTATGGTACAGAAGGAATGTCAATATTTTCAACAAACAAACAAACAAAGTATTGAAGGTGTATAACGGGACAAGGGGGTCCTGTCCAGCCAAGAGAAAAACCCAATAAGATTCCGGGATAAAAGTCATAATTAAGAGTTTAAAGGGATGTAAAAAGGATTTCTTCTTTTCCTTATTACATTTCCAGCACTGACGCCCAAAGAGGCAAGGGTCCAGGTTCAAGTTCCATCATAAGCAGACTCCTGAGCACTACTCAACAGCCAGACACACTGACTGACTGACTGACTGACTGACAACCAGACAATGATCGACCTACTACCCTGGCAATAACCGTCTGCCAACCAGCCAATGACTGACCAACCTAATGCCTGGCAATGACCAACTGCCAGCCAGAAATAGCGACCGACGGATTGACTGACTGCCTGCCAGCAAGACCGATTGCTTGCCTGCCAGCCAGCAAGACCAACTGCCTGCCTGCCAGCCAGCAACACTGACTGCTTGCCGACGAACGGGCAGACAGTCAGACAGACAGTCAGTCAGACATGATGATGTACAGACAGACAGACACTGACTTGCCAACGTACAGACAGACACAGACTGACTTGCCAACGTACACAGACAGACAGACTGACTTGACAACGTAGACAGACTGACTTCACAACGTAGACAGACTGACTTCACAACGTACAGACAGACAAACACAATATGCACACATTCCACGTGTGTAGTAACATTATTTTATTAAAATTAATTTAAATAATCAATTTAAATTTTATAAAATATAGCTCACGTTATCCTGGTGAAATGGTCCTAAGGTTCCAGGCTCTTCTTTTACACGGATGCCCTGCAGCAAGAAAGAACATTCAAGATTTAGTTCCACATTTTGCTTCTCAACACAGGAAAATTTCTATCTGTGCTTTTATTTTGACTATGCAAATTAATTTCATGACTTTAAGAGAACTGAGAAAGTGAGAAATTTTTACAAGAACTTTCCTCATCAAATAATCTTCGAACACGAATATTTGATTCATGGAATTTATTTGAACTCATTATCATATTTCTCTGAGCATACTTGATCACACACATCAAAAAAAAATATGCATTATCATAATAAAAAATCGTCATCAAATATCATAATAAAAAATTATGCAATTATGCATATTGTATTAAAACAATTATTATAAAAAAAAAAAAAGGCTCAACATTCACTCACCCATTTTGCATACTCTATAAAATCCATGTCATTGCATTTGAAACCTGTACAAAAATAACAAAACGTTACAAATTGCTTCCAAATCATTTTCATCTCTAATTGAAATACAGCATATTTTCTTGCAAGGAGAAAAGTATTTACATCTCTCTCTCTTTAAAAAAATAATTAAATTCAATAAAAACATGCTGAAAAGGAAAAACTTTTGTCAATTAAATCCACTATGTTGTACAAACTCCCAAAGAAAAGTGGATCCTTTTTCTGGAAAGAGCGTTCTACCCAGAAAAATTTTCCCAAACATCAGTGATGACTTTCAATCAAGGATTGTCATCATTAGCGCCTTAGATTCTTAGGTTTTGTTCTATTTTGTTCCTCCCTTCTTAAAGTCATTTTAATAAATGTACATTGCAATCATGCCTGAGCCAAAATAAATAAATCTTATAGCTCCTAAAAAATTGCCAAAATGAGTTATGATCCTAAAAAAGGCTGGATAGGTATTATTTAAAAATATATGCAAAGGCAGCCTGGACTAACGTTCCTGACGCTTTTGCTACTAATTAGATTAATACTAATTTCCTAATTAAAATAGTTGCAAATCAGTTACTAAATGAAGTGATGAATATTATTTAAGGTCTTTCATGGTAATAAGAACAACAATCTGTAGATTGTGTGTTCTTGTCAAAGCTGTCAAAAAATTAATGAAACACGGCTTAAACAAAGATGAAAGACAGTAATAGAGTTTTTTTAGGAAAATAAATATCTGGAACAAGTACATTCGAGAGTACAAAAGATTCTGAAGTCTGGTCTTTAAAAATCCGGAAAATTGCACAAAACCTCTATATTCATCTTATGCAAAAAGCTTTGAAATTTTCACCACCATTAAAAGCAACAACAAATCAATAAAATGAATTTTTTGTGCATTCTTATATGTATTTACCAATAAAGGTAGTTAAAACATATCACCATCCCACCCCAAATTGTGGATCACACATATCTGCTTTCCACATGGTTTACCAGTGTCCTGAATTTGTAAGTATTCTTCCATGTTTTTAAAGTGACATTAATGACATTAAGACATTGTTACACCTCCTGCCCGATAAAATCCATTTTTTTATTTAATTCGCAAACATCCTTCTCGTCGGGGTTTGTGGTCTCAGAAATGTGCTTATCAGAATTAAAAAAGATTCATTTTATAAGGCAGTAGGCTTAACAATGAACTAATGTCATCAGCCACTTCACAATAATCGAAGTTCAGACGAATATTCCTCAACCTTTCAGGCAATACGTACTGAATTTTTTAAAGTGTAGGTAAATGTAAGAAATCCTTCAACTCTCAAACACATCTAACTTTGATTCTCTATTATAAGGAATATCGATAATTTTCATTTTATTTCTTCAGTTTATTTTAACCACTTATTACAAAGTAAATGTAGGAATCACAAAACATACATGTTGTATAAATGCAAATTGTTTGTTTTTGTTTCCACATTTTGAAATTTATGTAAAACAAAATATATTCTTGTATAGTACAAATTTAATCAAATTTCATAAATATAAGACTGCATGTGTAAGACCAGTGCATTTATTGAGGGTGATTATGACCCTCACAACTAAAAAGCGAACTTATATTATTTTTTTTAAGGAAAAAGATTTAAAGAGTTTAGTTACAATTATGTAATATGAGCTTTATTAAAAGTAGTAACCTTTGAAATTAAGAGATAATTTTTAAATTGAGCCAGGTCATTCAGAGAATATCCATTTTGGAAATATATCTTTTAATATCTCTTCTTGCAAGTAATTACATAACACTTCTTTAACTATGAAAAACATTGTATTAATCAAAATGTAAAAAACATGAGAAAGTAAACAAATGTCATAGTCACTAAAAAATATAGAAATAGTAAGTCAGATAGAAACAATGGAGGCTTTTCTGGTTAAAAGGCTTCTTTCAAGGTTTTTACAAAGCTGTCCTTACTGAATTACGTCTGCTTTAACAACTTTAAAAACCGTTAATAGAATTACCTAAAGATATCCAATACCATTATTTAATTAAATTTACAACTTAGGTTTTAAAGATAAAACGAAAGATTACACCACAGTACACTTTTCACCATTAGACAAACAATTCCGAGAGAAAAATTTGCATTTCAAACAGGAGTTAATAAGAGTGCGTGTGTTAACACTCACCAGTCTCATAAACTGACGTAAATAAACAATTAAAAAGCAAAGAATTACACTAATCATTTTTGAGCAAGACAGCAGACTAACATTCGTGGGAACTATCATATTGTGTCACACCAGATGCTATATTTTGTGTACAATCGCGTGTGCGAGATTTCAGAGATATTCGAGATTACGAATTTCTAAAACATTAAAAATCTGTTCACATTTCTGTTATTTGCTTACCTTGCTTCCTTTTGCCCGCAGCTCAGTTTTCAACTAACACCAATACAAAATGTGAAATATATCTACACCCTTCTTAATGTTTCCAACACTTTAGCCCTATTTTCTGAAATTACCACAAAAGGACAGAAACCTTTTGTGATATTCAAAGCCATAGTCACTCATCATTTTCAATTTCTTGCGATTGTTTGGTCATCCCCAGCTCCCAATCAGCTCAGAAACTAACGAGATCAAAACTGACACACAACACTTGCTTAGCACCGTGCTAACCCACCCCGACCCACCCAGACTCTCTGACTCTTTGACTCTTTGACCCAGACAGCAGAACGAAACCAAAGAGTTCTACGAACTGGAGAACGTCCAGTTCTAGCCAAAGAGTATATCTCCAGCAGACGTTCAGCTCGTTCGCACGTGAAAAACCCGCGTTTTTATCAGGAGTGAGAAGTGTGTAAGTGGTAACATCAGTCTCATAAGCTAATGTAAATAAATATTTAAAAAGCAAGATTTACACAAATCATTTTAGTGCAATGCGGCTGACGTGGAAATATCAGGGGTGTACCCAAAGAGTATATACCAAGCATCACACCAATTATACACAGAGCACCCACATACGAGAGCAATCACCAGGGCCGGTTCTCTTAACGTCAAAAGTCGGGCGACTAAGTTTGTTTCCTCAGTCATGGACCTGGTGTAGATAGCGCAGATGATGCATGTTAGCGCGCATTTTCAAAGCAAAGTTGTGAGAAGAAAGCAAAGTTGTGAGCTGGTTGTGGTCCGTGTAAGGAATATCCATGAGTATTATCTGCTTTTCTTACGATTCAGATTAACCTGATTTAAATAATATTTTTAAATATTATATTAGATGTTTTTACTTAAAACCATAATGAGTAAAGTGATGTATTTACACGTAATTACTTTAAAAGTAGAAAAAAGTTTATGAAAACACGAAGTTTTTAATTTACCATTACATTAATTTTGTTTGTTTTATTTTTTTCTCAAATAGATATTATACATTTGACGGGTCTGGTGCAATACCGCCCTAACCCACAAAATCTTTAAATTTGAGTACTTATAGTTTCATGCTCTTAAAACACTGCTCATGTGTTCACATTATCGAATACGCTAGTGGCACCATCTATTAGCATGGAAATATTCTTAACTTTAGAATAAAATTGGCACAGTTTTCTTGTTTAGACTGATACAAGATCTTTCATTTTCTATAGCTATCTGATTGGTTACTGCACATCATGACTATATGTCCACAAAGTCCACATACAAACTATGCTCATTGCAGCATACAAATGGACAGAACAATACTGAATTGTTTCGGATTACGGAATTTTGACAGTATTTGTAGTAAAATTGGATTAGATTTTGACTGTAACTATCAATAATATTATTACAAGATTTATTGTTCAGATAATTCATTTACCTATTCAAATTTGCCTACATTTAATTAAAAATCATCTAAAACATCACATCTTAATCTTTTGTAGCACTGAAGTATGAGAAATATCCAAAATAGTATTTTACCTAATTTGAACAGTGCCCAGATATTCAGATATTAGATATTCAGTGTACAAGTAGAGTACAGTAGTACTATATTATTCATTACATTTATTTTATACAGTTTTTTTTATTACACATTCCAAAACAAAAGTTTTTTAACAAAGTTTTAGACATGGCAAATAAATATCGCGACACAATTCACTCTACTTAAAAGGCACGGCATTCTATATACTATCAAAATGCTGAAAAATTTGGATAAAAAAGAGCACCTGCCTGCACGTAACGAAAAACAAACACTGCCTAATTACCAGCTTTTTGGATTGCATTGCTCCCACGTTTAGTTCGACTCACGACGAGCTTGCTGTAGATGGCGCAGAAATCATGACCCCGTTTTGACCGCCAAGTTTCACGCCCTTGGTGATCACTCCCATGGTAAGGACGACGAATAAATGATAGAAAGAAAGGCGTCTCCCTACTCCTATATTACCAATTCCACTTATTTGTGCCAAACACGTTTACTGCGAACATTTAAGTGAGGGTTCAAAATTAAATTATTTTTCGCCGCTTCTCTTAAAAACTATATTGAAAATTAACTGCTTTTACTCGATTTTTAATTGTAATTAAGTGCTTTCTATGGTCTTATGCTAATTTGTGGAGCGGTTCTAGATCCTCTTTACTTAAAACCAAAAAGTATTGAAATTTAGCAGTAGGTCCTATAGAGAGTCCGATGTTAAGAAAGGAGTACGGTCTCTTACGGCGACAGTGATGCCAGATGTGGCGCCATTCTGCTGCACCAATGAACCAAAAGTTATGCGCTCGATAATGCCGCAATGTGGTGGAGCGCTAAATTAGTTTCGAATCTTTCTAATTTTGTGAAAGGTACACTCCGGTACACAGTAAAAGGATTTCTGTTCAACTTCTCACCTCCTTTGTTTCGAAATGTGTCATAAGAAACCTCAAAGAAATATTAATTTTAAAGTGCGCTACTATTTCAGTACAATATCTGAAATTGACGCCAACCACATGCAATTACAACAGGGTCAGTTATTGTTCCCTTGTTAACAGCAAAAAAAAAAAAAAAAAAAAAAAACTACATGAAAGGATGAAGTTGCATAAAATCTTATTGCAACGACAACTTTTAATAAGGGGGAAATCGGCAGTCCTCTTTAAGTCATTGGGACTTCGTCGATCAACGGCACTAGTGTATACACTACAGTAGTTTTATTGCAACGAAACCGCGTTCGGAATTGTTCATCATTGTACATTTCCAATACTCATATTTCTAATATATCTCTTTGAATTTCGCAGGATGTGTTGAGTACAAAACTCAAAATAATCTTGGAAGACATTTTCCATAACACGTTTCTCAAATGGAACGTTTTAACTGGTTACATTATACAAACACTAGCAAAAAGAATTCAATAGTCTATGAACGCCGCTTAAAAGTATAACTTAAATTGGTTACACGACTGACAATGTGAGGGAGCCATAAGGAAGCACACTTCATAGAAATGAGAGCTCACTGAAGACTTCACTCAAGGGTTGTTGATGAATATCGTCTACTTAAGGTAACACACTGTGACGACTATGAATTAGCCTCTGACGCGCCATGGAGGTATCTTAATCGTAAATGATAAGAGCTAGGAATATGAGACAATCACAATAATAATATGGAACAATTATAAAAAAAACTTATTTAACTTTTAAAAACAATATAAAAAATATAAATAAATTAACAGCAAAAGAAAGAAATTATAGATTCGAATTTATAGTCGTCACTTATAGGATAGAGGGTCGAATTCATAGTCGTCACTTATAGGATAAGCGAACCCTTAAGTGATAAGTGCTTTATCAAAATAAGTGTTCCCTTATAGGCGCTCGTATTTCAAACCTGTTTTACACGATAATTTTTTCATCATTTTTCGCCGGTTCAGAAAAGATAAAGGCCAGACTGGATGTAATTTGTACGAAAAAATGACGCATGCTTAATTTTTCGGTACAGATTTCATCCAGTTTGACTACCGCGCTCCTGGCGGCACTTTACGGAAGTTTCTCTAGTTTGTGATGCGTGTGGAGCGATATGATCATTTTGTAGTTGCCTGAGAGCGTTGTGATGTGTTGGATTGTAATGTGAAGTGGTTGCGTGAAGAGAAATAAATTATGCACTGTATTCTAATATTGTCGCATCCGAACTCAGTCCTGACCTAACCTTATTTAATTTGTTACCACAGATGGGATGTTCAAATGATTGAACTTCAGCGCTGTATGCGGCGTCCGGAGAAAGTATTTTCTTCAAGATTACGTACAAAGACAGAAATGACCGTGTAAAACACTCATCCAGTTTCGGCACCGAAACATACTGCGTAGAAACGAACGTCCTTTTTTCATCCATTTACGGTACAAAAAAAAATGATGAAAAAATGACCGTGTAAAACAGGCTTCATAGATGTTCCTTACGATCGCGGAATGAGTGTTCCCTTAAGCGGAAGGGAAATGTGGCAACATGGCATATGCGGCAGATTTTTCAAAGTTCTTGGCAACCGAGTTTACATACGCACTTCATCTTGAACAAAGAGCGTCCAATCTCCAACGTAGAGTTGACGTCGCGCGCACGACGAAATACTCTTACTACCTCTAATATGTCCTCATACAGACAAAACGAGATGTTTTGATATTAGTATATTTTACTAATGTGATTACTACCAATCACTAATAACAAGCGGATTTGTAACAATTTAATCTATGATTCTCATATAATTTCAATGACTATTTGACACTAGTATCATGTTAATATTTTAAAAATGTAATTATTACAAATCCCTAATAATATGAAATGTTTGGTAAAAATATAATCCATGAACCTCGTATCAAAATTTTAATGAATCTCTGCTAAATAAGTCTTGTGCGTTTTCTACACATTATTTATGTGCATTATTGGATTGTAATGTAATACTTAACATCAGTTTCAATTGATTCCTTAATGTTAACTTATGCCCTAGTATAAATAATGACCATAAAGTGGTAACATCTGAACATAAGTCTGCCAAGTGGTCATGGATTATTAACATTTCATGTAAATGAAAATGTCAACCACACATAGTATTAACATAAATTCCATTTTACAACGATTTAAATAACTTCACTTGTTATTCATATTGCAAATTCACAATAACTTATTAGAGGTCTTATAAATCAGAAATGAATAAAAGTTAAACATTTTAGAAACATTCCTGAAAGGATGAAGTTGCATAATATCTTAATGCAACGAGAACTTGTAATACGAGGAAATCGGCAATTTTCTTTTAGTCATTGGGATTTTGCCGATCATCGGCACAAGTGTATCCACTACAATAGTTCCATTGCAACGAAATCGCTTTCGGAATTGTTCATCATTCTACATTTCCAATAGGTTGCTCATATCTCTAATATATCTCTTTGAATTTCGCACGATGTGTTGAGTATAAAACAAAATAATCTTTGAAGTAATTTCCCATAACACGTTTCACAAATGATAGGTTTTAAGTGTTACTATATATGATACTGTTTTAAGTTATTACTATACAAACACCAGCAAAACGAAATTAATAGTCGATGATTGCCGCGTAAAAGTATAACCTAAACTGGTTACGGCTGACGATGCGAGGGAACCATACGGGACACTTTCACTTACGGGAGCACGCTGCCTCGCTTATAGGAATGAGTGATCTCTTTAAGACTTCACTCAAGGGCTCAAAGCAAGGCTCAAGGGCATAAATACGATTTGTCCACTTAAAGGAGCACTCAGTGTAAGAGGACACTATGAATTCGGCCCTTAACAGTGGTGTTTAATTACACAAAAAATATTTTGTGCATTGATTGAAAAGTGTCTGCAATAAATATATTTGCTTTATGCATCACGCCATAATCCATTACTATTGAGAATTTAATGAAAGCAACACTGCAGCATTTTTATATAAGAATTTTCCAACACAAATGTTGACATCTCAGTTGAAAAAAAGATTCATAAAGCCATCAATGTAAAACTGAATTACTTCCCATTACAGTAAAAATATTAATCACATACCAACGAGCTATGTAGAATATACTAGATAAGTGTGGCTGTCCCCAAAGAGTATGTATGCTGTGGCTGCCATGTTTTTTGAAGCTTTCCCTAAAAACATCATAGAGTAGAGATATATTGTATCTCTCCTCTATGCAAAACATAGGGAAACTCGGTGAAACCTTACCCACTGGTTAATACCTGGGCATCCTGCAGGGCATCAGGATATGGAGTACGCTCAAAGCCTCTTGAAACTTTCCGAAACCATACAATAAATTATACTAAATTTCACGCACAAAGACCACGTGAACATATTCGTCAAACAGTCCTGTCGTCAGTAAATGTGTTATAATTCATAATATAAAGTCGTCTGCAGCAATATGCACTACCAAGACAGTTTACGCACAGAGTTGCAACACGAAAATGACTTTGTGGCTCTGAGCCAAAATGCTGGTATTGACATTCATCCACGTGTATTAAGGTAAAATAAGTTCGTTTTCCTTCGTATATTTGGGAACGATGAATAGTCATATTTATGGTTATTGTCAAAATTAACGAATGTCATTCCTAAAATTGTTTTAATGTTGTATTAAATAATGAAACTACTCGATTTTTAGGATACTAATGCAACTTTTGGAACTGAACGTCCACCCATCTGTCTTGCACCTTGTTCTTCAGAAGATCTGTGATAATCATCCCTCTGGTAAACGTTCCAAGACAGGATCCACAAATAATCGATCAAAGAGTAGTACGTCTTCTCATTCATCAGCCAAGTCATCTGAGAAAATGTAAAGACTTATTTGATATGAGGGTTTATGAGTGTTTTTAATTAATTTTGTTTAATTCTCATATTGTGCCTGAAGTTGAAATTGCTGATTAACCGCAAGATTTATTTTAATTTTAAGAAGGTAAATAATTGTGCAAAAGTTATTTCCAATTTTGTGCAGTAAATTGTACTCAAATAAAAATAAAAAGTAGAACGAAAATGGCATAATCCTTTTGAAGTTCGGATTTCCTTTTTGAATTATTGCCAAAGCTTTCTTTATTGTAATGTAATTTTTAAATGGAAGGTTCAGTGAAGGTACAGTGTCCCTGCCTTCATTGACCACCTACAAAATAATAAGTAGGACGTGGAAGTTAATGACGGCGTGTTTTTATTTTGTACTTATTTGTATTGCAAACATTACATTTGCCTATTTTAATCTATTGTGTTTTATATAGATCATATTTTGGCTTGTTTTAGCTTTTTAATTTTTTAAATTTTAGCTCCCTAACCAATTTTATGTGTTTAGATCATATTATATCAATTTGAAACAATTTGCTGTCCATTTGACACATGAATTTTCATGCACTGTAGGATTTTGGGATGACGTTCTGCTTTCCAGTAGGTAAGAGGAGTTTCAACTGTGTTTTCAAAGCAGACTGTTTGATAATTGAGTGGAAGACAGTACATCAATTCCTGATTGCAACAGCAGAGTAAGTTCTGTAAACAAAAGCAAATACTAACCACACTTACCCGGGGTTGGTGATTAACACTTTTGATCCTAATGACGTATGATACATCATCTTCATTTTACTGCTGTGTCTTATGGACTTATGTCATACATTCTTCTAGTTTTATTGTCTAAAAGGCTATAGACATCTCTTGGACATCCGTAGGCACTTAGAATATGCTTTTTGATATCATTAAGATGGTTGGAGGACAAATGCCAATGTGTACTTCTATGATTAGATCTTCCTACTTGCAGGCATTGTTGATTATGTTTAGAATGTCTTTCTTTGTAAGTAGTGTTGATGCTGTTAGTGATGTATACAGATGTTTAGAAGACTTAAATGTCAAATTCACAGCGACTCTCAACATAAGATGCTCAAGACTTTTGGATGTTGATTGGTCAGTATGGATAAATGAACAATTAGTTATGTCAATGTTTCAAAATAAGTAATTTATTCATCACTGCTAAAGTATAAAGACCTACCAACAATGCATGACAACAAACAATTTCACATAAATTGATTCATTAATTAACATTATACAAACAACAAAAATGTTTGCAAGCTAAGACAAAACACCAAAATATAAAAGGTACATACCTTCCTAATTCACATAAAGCGCAAACCTTGTTTCCAGCCACCACACCCAACTCAACATGGAGTTGCTAAAGCAGGTGGGTCCATTGTACGACAAGTGTGAATTTGGCCACAGCCTGAACCGCAAATGAATGAGAACTGATTGAATTGAATGAACCATGTTCTATAGCCACTCAATGCCATGCCACCGTGTGTTCCCAGTCAAATTCATGTTAAATTAGCAATATAATAATAATAATAATATTTATTGAGTCACATATACAATTACAATCGTGTATGACGAGTCAATAGGATGCCTTGGGTATAACCAAAATTAGCATCAATATAACATTGACTTCCCTACATGTGTCCTTGCACAACACAGTAAACAAACTAAACATATTTTCAATTTTAATGACCTTCGCATTGTTGACATAAATTTAACCATAAGAAAAGGCTGCTCAAAGAAATACCTACATAAAAATAAAAACTCAACCTGCAAAAAGAAAACATGGAAAATCTCAGCAGGTTGATGTTAACCAAATTTTGTTAATGCATTTTTCTATCCTTTTTTAATTTTTTTTTTTTTTTTAGCATTTGGCACTAACGAATACTATTTCAGAGGACTGGAATTTAAAAGAGAATTGTAATTTTATTTAGAAAAACAAAAAAGAAGAGCAAAATAAAAGTAGAAGAACAAAAAAAAAATTTTTGACCATTCCTTCAAAAAGTATTAAAATTGCAATAGTAATATAACTGTTACTTCCAATATGTAATCAATGTAAACAACATATTCTGTTGGCAACTTGATGGTATTGGTCGGACTCAAAAGTGTGTATCTTGTTGCATACTAAATATTATTATTATTATTGTTAAATTAAAACCATGGTCTTCCTTTTGCCCACCTTATAGCATGGGTTTTTTGTGAACTAGTTGGCAATACTTTCATTGCTCTAATTCATAATTATACACCACTTGGATGATGAATCATGACATACATACACATATGTTAACATTTAATGGGCAATTGTATTGATTGTCTTTAATTTCAACAAGCCAAATATATATAATTATACTTTCTAAATTTAAAAACAAGTTCAAATTAATTAATATAATGACTGAAAGTATGCCATCTTTCTCTTAACCTTGATAAATAATAATAATAAAAAATTTGGTATATACATCTAGTTTTGATATATTTGCATCAGGTTTCCTCAGAATGTTGTTGTCTGGGTGGCATGGCATCAAGTGGCTGTAGTGCGTGGTTCATTCAATTCAACCAGTTCTTATCATTTGCGGTTCGTGCTATGGCCCAATTCAGATTTGTTGCATGATGGACCCACATGCTTTAGCAACTCCATGTGGAGTTGGGTATAGTGGCTGGAAATGAGACTTGTGAATTTGTAAGGTGTGTACCTTCTATATTTTGATGTTTTATTTGTCTTAGTTCATAAACATTTTTGTTGTTTGTGTAGTGTTAATTAATTAATCAATTTATTTAAAATTGTTTGTTGTCCTCATGCATTGTTGATTTGTTTTTATACTCTAGCTCTGATGAAGAAATTAAATATTTTAAAACGTTGGCATATCTAATTTTTTCTTTAACCATACTGACCAGTCTCATGAACTAATTTTATAATTTTTAACCACAGTTTATTTCGAACAATAAAGGCAGAAATGAATAGATATGCAAACAAAACTGTATGTGAACTTCAACTAAATATAATTATAGTGCACCAGTATTGTCGTGTTAAGTTCACTGAGCTTCCCTCCATGTTTTGTAACATGGGTTATTTTCCATTCTCACCATCTTGTAATCCAAAGGATCATAAAATACATAGAGGATATAAAGAGAAAAGATAATATTTTAAGATTTTATCGATTTTGAACTGATCTGTACAATAGTTTTTGTTGTACAAAAATTTCAATAATAACTCAATTGCCCACAACACAGCAGTTAACGACATGGTGTATCCCTCAGGACAGAATGTGTTAAAGAAAAAATTTCTGATATTTGAATATATTTCATTCCATCTACAATACAGTAAAACTATTCCAGAAAATTTATTTTATTAGGTTATATATTCTCAGATTTCATGTATAACATAAAAGCTAGCTAATTTTCTACGTATTAGGTGATAAACAACCAGATCCCAATTATAAGTTTTCCAAAATAGTATTCATATACTAGAGGTATAGTTCATCATTGCTAGTGGTAGTAATCATTCACTACATTTTACAAAAGGCATAGGACCAAAAATTAAATTATTTTATATACAGCCAAGAGTAGGCAGTGAATTGCAAAACATATTACCAAAAAAAATGAAAATTTACAAATGCTATCTACATTTTGAGAAAATGTCAGTGAAAGATACCAGACACCTTTTGTTTGTTCATAAATTACAAAAATGTAATTTTTTGGACGAGTCTCTCCAGTCATTAATATTCATATTAGCGGCGGTTTGTTCACATTATTGTATTTATGAGCACATATGCTTTCAATAATGTCATATAAAGTTTCTCGAAAACTCAACGATTTCCTAGCCTAAAAATTTCCATTTCCAGAAACGCTTAAACCCAATATTCTCAAAAAACGGCTCCAAATTTTACTTTCAAACTTTTTGAAGGGATAGTGCTAATTGCACTGTATAACATGACGTAAAGTTCATTTCGTTCCCCCCCCCCACGCCGTTAATATACAAATTTTCAATAATTTGTAAACACTATTATACTCATTAGTTAATGTGCTTCGAATGAACTTTATCGAAAACTCAAAAACAGTTTTCAAATTTCTTGTAAGAATACAGCACTATTTAGTATGAGGGAAAGTGCATTTTTTTGTTTCAAAAAACAAAAAATTACACAAATGTAATTTATCTGAATGATCTCTCATCATTATGTACATTTCCAGCAATTTGTAAACATTATTGTATTTGTAAGTTAATGTGCTTCAAATTACTTTGAACGACGTTACTTGAAAATTCAAATTTTTTTTGTGAAATTGCTTCAAATTTTCAATTAACAATAGCGCTTAAATGCCAGTTTTTTTATAAATAGCTCCAAATGTTTCAAGGAAAATTACCATTAACAGTGTGGTTTTACTGTTTTTTAATATTCTTAAAATAATATTTCCTTCTATTAGAAAACCTATAAATTAAGAAAATTTCAAAAAGATATACTTTGAAGCGATAATGGTAGATTGCAGGAGTATTTGGCAAGTCCGAGTAGCTACTCAAATTAAGAGGAAATATAAAAATAATATTGGGAAAGTCTGCCATTCTGTAGTTTCTAGTTTTATTTATTCACATGGCTTTCTACAAACTATAGACACACTTTTCCAATCAGACCATTATTTCAAAATATAAATTTCAGTCAAAAATAATGAATTTTGGAAGAAGTCGAGATGTTTGTAATAATTTAATTTGTTTTATGGAAGTAAAGTTTGTTCATCTGCAATAGATATATTGTGGAAAAAGGGAGAAATAAAATGAAAATATTTGTTGAAAAGATTTCAACAATTCTGCCATTTGTCCTGCGATTAGCACAAAGTGTTACGTTTGTATTAAAATAAAATCTAAATATTTAGAAAAATGTTTGTTGCTTATTTCTAATTGTTTAGATTTTGTTTTCATCCTATTTCACTTTTATGTCAATTTTAAACACAGCATTTTTAATCCCATTCTATGATCAATAGACTCCATCATCTTAGTTTGTATGCAAAGACTAGGAGAGAAATAAAGTTTCACCTTGTACCTTGGTCCTTTGACAGATCATCAGCTGTTAAGTTGTCCTACTGGAAGGTTAAAAGTCATCAGTGATGTTTAGGCTCCCGATTGGATGACACTAATAGCTGTTACATAAAAGGACTATGCTGGATACAATTGCATAATCTAGAATTAAAACAGCCCAGGCAAAAACTCAATTTTTTTTCTTCATAGGGGGGGGGGGCACTTGTTGAGTGTACTATCTTTTATATGTACATTGTTGGCAACCCTAGTTCCTATATGCCCAAGTGGCCCTAGTTCGTATATATTTTTATTTTAAAATTAACACTAGTAACCAGTACAAATATCACTAGAATCTACATGTGCACCTTCCTGTTAACGATAACTTGCAGTTCCTGATGAGACACAGAAACCTTTTTGCTCCATGGTATAAAAGAAACATCCACAAACTTTCAAATCCATAGAAGCATAAATTAATCAAATCCATAGAAGCATAACCATTAATAATATATAATTTATTTCAATTAAAATATTACAATTAGACATCCAGTATTTTGACAAAAATAACAAAATTAATTACACAGGTAACATTTAAGTACATAATTTGACTTAAGTTTCCAAAGCCAAAAGTAACTTTTTTAAACATATCATATAAAGCTAAATGAATTACTAAAATAAGGCACCATATATTCATAATCCACAAAGAACAGGAGGGTTAAAAAAGATATTTGTACTGTAATAAATATTGCTTAAAGTAGCAATGCAGGAGAGCATCTAGAAAAAGAGAAGCTTTTTAAATATTTAACAAATCTCAATTTCATATCAAATACATTCTGTAAAGGAAACTAATTTTTATAAAATGTGTAGTCTGCAAAATCGATATTACTCTACAACTGAGACATGTTAGTGCAGCTGTAAACAAAGCAAAAAGTACTAAAGTAACAAGAATATGAATGTTAAAAACTCATTTTTCAGCTTCTTGTGCATGTAAGACTCTCTACTGCATGCAGTCTTACAAAAAGGCACAGCCTCCTAACTTATTAATCTTCATTGTTATACACCATTATCAGGCTTTTTAAGTGTTCTCCAATACAAAACACATCCTGGAAATCTCTAAAAACAATATATTGACCAGATTGGGTTTTGGTAATGAAACCATGATACAAGAGACTATACAGTGTCACCTTTTCCTAACTCTTACACTTTTGTATAGTTGAGAAAGCAATGTGGCAGCAATATTTAATTAACAGAAGTTCTTCAACCTGTGTAATTACATACATGGTGTATTTATGATGCAGATGGTTGTGCAAAAGTGATTTTCTTCAAATGTTACATTTTTGAATTTTTTTGAATTGAAGAAACCACCTCTAGATAGCCAGGCATACAAAGGAAACAAATTACCTTAAGATTTTTCACAATTGAACTGCCAATGCCTTTATCAACAATATACAGCTCATTGTGCATCATAAAATAAAATAATATTGGAACTTAACAAGATGAATCAACCAAAACACTCAATGTAATTCCAAATATTGTCAATTTCACTCTTTCTTACATATTCTCTCAAGTTATTTTTTAAGCTGATGAGCTAATCACAGCCTCTTTACAAAGCCACAGACAAATTATGGCAATGAGATTCATAGAAAAGACATGAATACTAATATAACAAACCACCTAGTTCAAAAGCTTTCAGTTCATTGCTCATGAAAGAAGCACCTTTGTTTACCACATATTCTTCGCAAATTCCCTTTCTTGCCTGGCTTGAGTTTGTCAACTTCTTTTAAAAATCAGTCATTCAATTAAAGCCTGAAAGTTACTGAGAGTAAAATACTTTTTAATATAGACAAAGACTTCAAACATTTCTGATGACATGAAAAGAATTTACACAGAAAAAGTGTAAGGGCTAAAGATCCCTTTATTTATTAAAAAATCCTTTATACTGTAAGTGGAGACAAATGAACACATTTTATCGTGACATCTGCACTTTATAAACATGCAAATTAAATTATCTGACTGATTTAGAGTACCTATCCAGCCATGTAGGTGCTCTAGCTTAGTGAGTGAATGAATGAAAACAACAGTAGTCTAAAGGTAATTTAAATTTATAAAACTTATTTTTGTTAATTTTTTCTGTTATGTAATATTATGCACTACTGCACACATCTCTGTTTTTTCACACAGCTGTTGAAAAACATACATTCTTTCACAGTGATTCACAACAGTGCACAAGCTACAGAGCAAATGAAATCTTTGAAATCTGCATTTTGAAATTAATTTAAATAATTTCCATGATTCCAAACAAAAATTCTGAGTTGGAAATTAAGCATCCTCACATACACAGAAAGAGCATTCTCACATTGATATCGATAATAATAACAAATGGTAATTATGTACAATCTGGAAGCTATGGCTTACATATTTACACTGTACAGAATAACAGCTGACACGATCATGTCATTTGAAAATGGCACCTTGCATGATAAATCTTATTTGTAAGAACTATAACACCAGTACATTATTAACAATTGCTTCATTTCAAAGAAACACTCAATCTTCCATCTTCAAATTCATGATGGAGATGTACAGTTATTAGGCTACAGAAGGAAATTTTCAAATTCTCTTGCACTCAAACATACTTTTATCACAGTTCAAGAACTTCAGTTGTGCTACGTCAAATGCAGATTTAATTTTATATCCAGGAACTTGCTGAATACCTTTATTAATCCACAGAAGTGCAAAATTATTTTTGTTGTTTTGGTTATTGAATACTTTGGCACATGGATATGTTAAATGTTTTTCCAAAACTCGATTAAATGGGTGTATATCAATATGAGTAGGACGGCAATTCATACATCAGAGAGTTAAAAAAAAAGAAAAGAGAGAGAGAGAGAGAGCTTTGGTAACTTAACACCACATTTGTCTAACTATTAAATCTGCATCTCACAGATAAGTAGCTCAATGGCTCTTTTATTTTGAAGATTCTATTTCCAGTATCCAAATCAACAAGGAACTGTTGAAAGCAAATTAGCTACAATAATGTAGCCACACATAAAAATTAAAATTAAAAAAACACTTAAGAAAACAATACCACACCAGAGAGACTGAAAGGAATATTGTGTTCAATACAACTAATTCAGTTTGACCTGGAGTGTAGTCATAAACTTGCTTTCAACAGTTTAAATAAATTTTTAAAACATGATTAAACATACAAAACAAATTTGTATAACAAATTTGTAAAACGTGATTATAATTGTTGAGAATTAAACATGGATGATAACATTAATTATCCAGCTTTATTTTCCTCATAACACAACATATGCCATGAGTAAGCCAGATTAAAGCACCATGTAGTCTTGCTTGAGTTACTCCTGTTATCAGCAACAAGTCCCCGCTAACTAGTGATGTGCGTAAGCGACTAGCATATATAATTTCTAAAGAAAACCAGAGAAAACAATATCCTAATACAGAAACAGTCTTAAACACAAAGATAAACAAAACTTCTAACCAATGTATTATTCCAACGAGATATCTTAATTGTCTCAACAAAGAATAATTGTCCTTGCTGAATAATTACAGTACTTAGGGTGAGGCGAGAAATCAGATGGCATAAAATCATCCAAAATCATTCAAATGTCCAAGAATTTTACATAGATCATAAAACAATTATTTCAGAGGATGCTATGTTCAGTTATGATAATGTAAGACCATGTTTTTGATGGCACACAAACTCTTTATGTTTACTTTTACATTTTCTTCCTAATAAAACCTTAAAGTTCAAGCATAACATTTTGCTAAACTTTGAAAATAAGATTTTAAATTAATTCATATTCACATAAGGCACATGGCATCTGCTTTCATCCACAAGAAAATGTTTTCATGTGATTGGAACCTTGTCTTATTACGTAAACAATTCTATTAATTGGACTAATTTATCTACAAATTTTAAACAATATCTTAATGTTCCAATACTGATGAAAAGTTTTACATATGCAAAACATTAGCACTTTTTTTTACACACTCAAATTACAATTAAAGTAAAACAAATACTAAGCAAACTATTTCAGTAATATGACTTGTAAAGTATTTTGTATGTTTATACAATCATGCATTGAATGGTTCAATATTTCGGATTTTGAGACCTATTAGTACATAAGTAATAGAATGCAAATTAATATGTAACAGATTTGGCATGAGAATATGAAATAATTTATTTTCAGGATTGAAGTCTCCTCTCTTAAAGATTCATCAACAAATCAAATCTTATACAAGTTTTTTTTAACACTGTTATATAATTCATTTATTCCAGCTCATAACAATTAAGGCATTTTATATATAAAAATATTGTTGTTCAATCTTTTCAATATATGTTAACATACCACTTTCTTTTTAAAGAAGAACATTGAGAATTAGAAGTAACCAGCATAACAGAACAGAACAGTAGTCTTTATTGCTGGTTATAGCACATATTCCATTCTTATAATTTTACATATAATCATACCAAAATAAAATTCAATATCAGCATTAAAAGAACTTATCTTACCTCGTACAGCACTGTAAAAAATACAATCACTTTGACTTCAAATTAAGTCAAAAAATTCTGCTCCATGATGCAATAATATAAAATTATACAAAAACAAACACACAGTCATGAAAGAACGCCTCTAGATAATTGCTTTACGCCAATAATTGTCATTGAACCAATAGTAAGGGTTACTGCATTAGGTACTGGTTTTATAACTAAAGGTTTAGATAACCTCATTTAGAGCAATTCGTTCACAATTACTTCATATGAAAACTCTGCATACAGCAAAAACATCTGCTGAATGACTGATGAAACTATGTTTTAAACAAAAACTAAGTCAAATTGTATCTGCACAACAATCAGCTATTACTAAAAAGAAATTGAAACACACAACCAGAAAATGAGCAACGTGAGATTCATTAAAATTAATGATCTAACAAAACACTGGTTACTTGCTTGTTTAGTAATACCACATTTCAACCACTTACATCAATTAAAAAACAAATAACACTGTAAGAAAAGCATTGGCATAAGTTAGAAATTAATCCTGAGGCATTGAGTTTTATTCATCAAAACTGTGGAGATCACCTTGTGTTTAAAAACAGACTACTTACGTCAAAATATTCTGAGGCTGACTCTCGTTCCTTTTTAATGTTGTCCTTCATTCATTTCTCAAATACCATGTAGTACAAAACCTACAATGGTTTTCTTAGAGACAAATAAAATTAACTTGATTAGCATGTTGCCACCTGACACATTTGACATTACACTTCATCAGGGGCTAAATCTTCTGACGCAGGTGCTGAGCCACCAGCATGACTGTTGCTAACTGCAGACTGAGCAGCTGGCGGGTGCCCAACACCCAAACCATCCCCCACCTTGCCTTCATCCTCACCTCTTGCATCAGACGAAGCCAAGCGAGCCTCAAGAGCTCGAATTCTATTTTCATGCTTTACTATCACGGCTTTCATCTTGCGAATTTCCTCCTGGAATTCCTTGACAATATCATCCTGAAAGAAATTAATGAATGTTTTATTAGTAAAATATTGACTTTTTTTACTGTGACGTCTTACTATATATAGCAGCATAGAAGCAAATCTAACAGTTCTCTCACTACGTGCTAAGGTATATTACAAGTCTGGCTCTGAAGCAATCAGCTTGCGAAGATTTATTTGCCACAGCCAGAGTTCAGCATTACAACTCATCTCACATCTGTCACTTGAGAAGCAGATAATTATAATCTCATTAACAATTTTCAACATGTGGGTTTGGGTGGTTTCTTTTTTTAGCTGCTGAAGAGGCTATACAACGCTATGCCATTTCTCAATGTCGAGTGTTAAATCCTTCCACATTAAAGAGGAGGTGCTGCCATGTGCATGGTAGTGTGGCAACAACTTGTCGAACTGTCAGATGTTTCTATGCTACTGATACTGTAAATCATCCTCATCCAGAAGCTTTTAGCTTCCTTCACATTTTTTCTCTACCAGCATCCACTGATTGTTCCTGAAGTTCAGTCTCATTAAGTTGAGTTTTAAATTCTTCACCGCTATTATTATTAGCTACATATAACGAGTAAAACAACATTCAGTTCTATATAATTATTTTCAGTATCTAATAAATTTTTTGTAGTATCTACAACTAATTTGCTTGTTTCAAAGAAACTCTTCAGTTTCTTTGTAAAAAAATATTTTCATATTAATACTAGAACCAAAGTGCTTTAATAAATCTATACATCATGTGTCAAAAGAAGCTTCTCTGAACATCCAAATTAGAATGCTAACTGAACATTTAGTCCAGTCAAATGGTAGAAAATAATGGAAAGTTTTGATGTAGTTGGTGCCTAAATGTGTTTGTATCACTGTATATGATGAATAGCTTGTTTGTCAAGAAGAATTTGGCCTGAAAACCTTTTTTTAAGCAAAACATAAAAATTCAGTTTTTTTGTAAAAATTAAGTATATCTATTTATAAATAAAAGGGAATGTGCGTATGTGTATCACACATAGCCGCACAACCTACTGAACCGATTTTGCTGATTTTTTCACACTTGGTTTATTATTGGGAGTGTTTAAAGAGTGGTTTGGATTGAAGTGGACATGTGGGGGCGTTGGTGATAATTATTTATTCGTTTATGATGACTCAAGTGCCCTTGAACTTTATACAACCCACCACAGTCAAGGATTAGGGGTGTCTTCACTGCATAAAAGAATTCTGCCCCTACAATTGTCAAATATCAGCGTCTTATCATTTGTATCTCGAACAAGTATCTAAATCAAATTTCTCCAAGATAGTGCAAATGCATAACCAAATTTGAGGAAGAATGTTTTAACAATAGGATACTTTACAATCATATCCAAACCAGGACATAGAACAAACCTACACTTGTGAGGAAGTCTCATCTATTAGAATTTTTGCATAGCGTAGTGAAAAAAGTGATTAACAAACATGTGGCCAGTAATGTGTGATGTGTAATACACTGCAATAGCGTAGCATTACCAGCTCCACTAGTATGAAATAAAAGAAAAGCAAATTACCTACATTCAATCTATTTAAGATTTTTTCTCCAATTAATAGTTTATCAGCAAGAGTACTGGGAAATTTGGTGTTATAAACAAAAATGTGAAAAAACAGGAATTACCTCACTTAATCTCTTCCATCATTCCACATAACCGTAACTATCCATTTTTCGTAAATGTTGATCTGATATGAAATTGAGGATATGAAAGGATAAAACTGTTTACATTTTATGTTTTCGAAGGCTTTCCGAGGATCAATCTATTTGCTAATTGTGTGCAAAATATATTCTTAGAAACTGACCCTCCACTTATCCTCCATCACTCAGTAAATCCTTTATGTCATTTACAGGCAATAAAGTCATGTGCAAATAAATTTGACACCTATTAAATACTTTTACATTTTAATTGGAAACAGTAAAGTAGGAAATTAACAATGTGAAAAATAATAAAATATTTTGGAAGTAATGGACCACACCTTTCACTGATCCCTACTTTTGTTTGAAGGCTTTTCTTCGACATCTGCTACACACAAATGGAATTATCAGGTGAATTGTATATATTATATTATTTTTTAATTAATATTATCCAAAATCTTGTAAAATACCCATGTCCTCTTCTATTGGTTCGTCAAGTTCAATGGCTGGAAAATCCGGTTTTATTTGGTTCAGTTCCAGCTAGTATATTGTCTCTCAATATTGAATATATTTTTCCACAGTATCATACATATATACACACATATTGCCTTCATGAAATAGTAATGTATCCATAGATACTCCATTGAAGGCAGTTATTGCCTGTGCACAGACTTGGACTAAGCTAATTAAATTATATAATATCTTTCCGGTGGATTAACATTGTTTTTCCTCACATATCATTTCAAAAAACATAATAGACAATAAAAAATGTCTAGAAAACAAGAGAATAGGAAAAAGGAAAAACTCAACAATACGAAGTAAGAGTATTTTTTCTCTTGATAAAATTATAAGGTGTCTCCTCAATGAGTTATTTTTTATTTTTGGTAAATTATTTAATTTTAAAGTATCACTCAAATTGTTGTAAGCTTTTACACACACACACACAGTTATGTCGTCTATTACACTTTTTTCCTTCATTGGTATAATGTTGATCTTCCTCCTACTTAAAATAAGTTCGAGAACTTTATTTTTCAATATAAAATTGTTTTAAGTCTGACAGAATCCCCCCCCCCCCTGAAATAAATTCTCAGAGGAGTATCTAATATTTTCTTTAAATATAATTTTTACAACTTTCGTAAGAACATTCATCATTGGAATAAAGTTTTTATCGTAGGCACCTCCCCATGCTTTGATACCATATGTAGCCATTGTCCGGAAAACAGAAAAGTAAACCTTTAATAATTGTTTAGTTTTCAAGAATTCAGACATTATGTAGAAAATAAAAATTAAATATCTAGTTTTCTTGGCCAGTTGGAATAAATAATATTTCAAATTTGATCAATATACAAACCTAAATATTTTGTATCTGTAACTCAAGTATTTCATCTCAATTACAAATTTGAATATTGCACGTTACTTCATGTAATTTCAAGGTGACTGATTTAGGAATCTTTTCAAAGTAGCTACCCTCACACTCAGCACATCTTTTATAACATTACTATTTGGTGCAAATTGTACTCAGACCTCAATCTCACTTTCTCTGAAGACTCCTTGCCATTGTAATATGTGTATGATTAGTGGAAGATATAAGACCACCCTGAGGCAAAAAATCAATGAAGAAAACCATAACCACAACACACACCTTGCACACAAAATATGAACTTTTTTCTATAACAGCATGATAACAAAATATTTGAGAAAATTGATAAATTTTTTTTATCTTTTAAGGTGTTTGATAACTCAGAGAACAGCAGTGTGTTATATAGGGCCATGAATGCCTAAGCTTTATTAAGGTATATGTCTATTTTCTTCATTTTCTTTCTATGTGTTAAGCCTTTGTTTCCATGCCAACGAGTTGTCTTGGCAACTACTGTTGTTGTTTTTTTTATATATAAAGATATTAAAAAACAACCTACTTCACATGTGGGTAGCAATTAGCAGAATCCACCTGTTTTATACAGTTGTAGAAAAAACACTTTTCTATGATCATAGAGAAAAAGAGGAATTTTATGTTCAGTACACAAACCTGCAAAAGAGTTGCCAAACAGCAGAAACTTTTTCTCTGTGCCAGGATTCAAACTCAGGTCCTTCTTATAAACATGCCACACACATTACTCCTACACCATCAGTCACAAGGAGAGTCACACACACAC